TACATTTAGTCATAACGTCTCCTCAGGTAAATCTTGGCTCTGACATTTTCTCAGATTTACCTTATTTTTGATGACCTTGATGNTCACTTAATGCCCTTTTTCTGTTCCAGGGTCCCATCCAGGACAACACCTTACATTTAGTCATAACGTCTCCTCAGGTAAATCTTGGCTCTGACATTTTCTCAGATTTACCTTATTTTTGATGACCTTGATGGTTTTGAGGAGTCCTGGTCAGATATTTTTGTAGAATGTCCCTCAATTTGGATTTGTCTGTTTCTCTCATGATTGGACTGGGGATTATGGGATTTTTTGGAAGAAGACTACATAAATAAAGTGCCATTCTCATCACACCATATGAAGGGAGCATACTAATAACATGACTTCACTGTTGATGTTGACCTTGATCAAGGTTATATTTGTCAAGATTCTCCATTGTGAAGTTACTATTTTCTCCCTTTCTGTACTGTGCTCTTTAGAAGGAAGTCACTGTCTGCAGGTCACACTTATGCTCCCTCTCCTGGAGAGTGAATTATCTATATAAATTTCTTAGAATTTTCCTGCACAGGATATTTGTCTGTTTTTTCCCATTTATTTATTCAATAATTTACCTGTATCAGTATGGACTTGTGGGGATTTATGTCACATTTTGTGTTATAACCAAACACTATTTAATTCCCCAAATTGCTTCCATTTGGGCCATTTGGAGCCCTTTCAGCTGGATTCTATGTCCCTTTAACATACCCCCACCATTGTGGAGTTTTTCAACTTTCTTTTTTGTTTTCTTTGAGTGCATCCTTAGTTTCTGGCACTACAAGACACTCAGGTTCATCTTGACTATGTCCTGCCCCGGTGTTAGAATCAGCCATTTCTCCAGGGAGTCCTGCTCTATTTTATTGAAGAATGATAAGAACCAAGGTCTGGGTGCTAAGTGTGCTCATTGCTGTTAGGGTATCATTGCTTCTAGGCTCTCTTAGCTGATGGAGAAGAGAAAATGTGTATACTAGCCAGTACACATACACATATCCACAAACTTATACATAACATACAATTAATTTATAAATTAATATCCATTTATATGTTAATATATACATACATATCCATCTCTACCTATATTAAACTAAATGTGAGTTTATAATAATGTGCCTACTCCATCACCATATGTATTATTTCTGCCCCTTTCCCTTGCTTGTCTGTAACCTCTCACTTCATCAGTGAGAAACCTGGCTCCCCATCAGCCATCCATTTGTTTATCTGGTCAGTTCCAGTGTGCATGTTATACTTGTTTCAGAATTGTTAACTCATAGCCCCAAAGCAATTTTTTCAACTAGAGTACACTGCTTATGTGCAGTTCTCTTTGCCTCCACTCTCACAGATTTCATTTCCAAATTTATTTAGGTCAGCTTTTCCCCCACTCCCTTCAGTGAGTTTGTTTTATAGTCTTTTGTCACAGCCTGCACTGTCACAATTAGCATAGTTAGGTGCAACCTAAAGAATATTGTTTTAACTTACTTGCCTCAAGTTTCACTCCTCTGCTGTAAAGTTCTATGGGTTTTGAAATTTTTATAGTGTCGTACATTATAGTATTATACAAAATAGTTTCATTGCCCTAACCCCCTTTCATTTATTCAAAGCACACACACCCCAGAATGCCTGCAACTACTAATCTGTTTTACCTGTTTGCCTTTTCCAAAGTGTCATATAAATGAAATGATACAGTATGCAGCCTTTTCAGATTGGCTTTTTTAAGCCTAGCAATGTGCATTTAAGATTCATGCATGTCTTTGCATGGCATGATAGCTCATGCTTTATTATTGCTAATAGTATTTCATCATACACATATACACAGTTTCTTTATTAACTAACTCACCTACTAAAGAACATATTGATCGCCTCTGGGTTTTGGCAATTATGAACAAGGTTGCTATCAAAACTCAACTGCAGGTTTTTGTGTGAACATACATTTTCAAATCAGTTGGGAGTGATTGCTGGATTATATGGTAACACTATGTTTAGTTTTATTTTAAAAACTGCCCAACTGTTTTCTAAAGTACCTGTACCAATTTGCACTCCCATCACTAATAAATGAGAGTTTCTGTTGCTCTGAATCTTTGCGAGCAATTGGTAGTGCCAATTTTTTTCCTAATTTTAGTCATTCTAATAGGTCTGTAGTGGTATCTCATTGATGTTTCAATTTGCATTTCATAGTGATGATGTTGATGTTGAGTGCCTTTTCATATCTTATTCACCATCTGTATAACTGCTGTAGAGAGGGCCCTTGTTCAGCTTTTTGGCTCATTTTTAATTGAGTTGGTAGGTTTTCTAATTGTTGAGTTTTAATTTTTCTTTGTATATTTTGGATACAAGTCCTTTAACGGAAATATATTTTGCAAATGTTTTCTCCAAGTGTGAGGCTTATCTTTTAATTTTGTTTACAGTCTCTTTAACAAAGCAGAGGTTTTTCATTTTAATAAAATCAAAGTTATCTTTTTTTTCTTTCATGGATCATGTTTTTATGTTGTATCTAAAATCTCATCACCAAGTCTAAGGTCAAATGGATTTGCTTCTATATTTTCTTCTAGAATTTTTTTAATATGTCTTTACTGATTTCAGAGAGAGAAAGGGAGAGGGAGAGAGAGAAAGAGAAACATCAATGATGAGACATAGTCATTTATTGGCTGCCTCCTGCACGCCCCCTACCGGGGACCAAGTCCCCAACCCGGGCATGTGCCTTGACCGGAAATCGCACCAGTGATCTCCTGGTTCATAGGTCGATGCTCAACCACTGAGCCACATCGGCCATGCACTTCTAGAATTTTTATATGCATTTTATATTTAGGTGTGTGATTCATTTTTCATTTCTTTATAAGGTGTAATGTCTGTTTCTAGGTCCCTTTTGTTTATTTTTGGGGGATGTCGTATGCTATCATGTGTTGAAAGACAGTCCTGTCTCCATTGAATTGCTNGGGGGGATGTCGTATGCTATTATGTGTTGAAAGACAGTCCTGTCTCCATTGAATTGCTCCTGCAATATTGTCAAAAATCAATAGACTATTTGTGTAGGCCTACTTGGGGGGTTCTTTATTCTGTTCCATTAATATTTGTGTATATTCTTTTACCAATACCATTTTGTCTTGCTTATTGTAGTACAACTCTTAAAATATAATGTCTGGCATAAAATAAGAAAAAATAACCACTTAAACAAGGAGATAAGATAATAACAAATAGAAAACAGAAAAAGCACAGCAATAGAAACAACCCCCAGAGCTCCAGAATTTGGAATTTGAACTTTATTAAAATACTCTTACTATGTTAAATGAGATAAAAGACAAGATTTAAAACTTTAGCACAAAGGTATAAACTATTTTTAAAAATGATAAAGTGGACTTGAAGAAGAACCAAATTAAAATCCCAGAACGAAAAAACAATAACAAAAATTAAGTACATTATATTCAGCTGAAGAGAAAACAGCAAGATAAAAGATGAGTCAATATAATAAAACAGGAGGGAGCAAAAGGGTTGGAAGAACATGAGTATATGAGATACACAGATTTCATGATAAAGATGGGGCTTCAGAACAGCAGGGAAAATGATAATGTTTCCAATAAATAGTGGTAGAATGGGCAAAAGTAAACTACAGTGCTTACAGATGTGTAGGTAAGTAGTAAAAGAATTTTAAAAAGCAAATAAATGATTATGGTAGACATTCAAAAAATAATTATATCTAATGGAAAAGAAAAGTGTGTGTTTGTGAGTAGGATCATGGTGGGGTGCTATTTATATTCTTTGTTTTTACCTATATATTACTAGTTTTCACTTCATAATTTTATTAAGCTGGACATGTAGGTTTAAGCAAAGTTTTAAAATATGGATGGATGGTAGCAGACCAAGAGGAGCAAATCTTAAACCGACAGTAGAGAAAGCTCAGAAACAACCCAATTTACATCTTTTTTAAAAGAAAGATATGCCAGGTACTTCTGGAAATGGTGGTAAATTAATGGAAGGACTGAGTCAAAAATAGAAGGATAAATTGAAATATCTAATAATTAGATAGAGCTCAAGTTCTCTTCCCCATTCTATTCATTTGTGTAACTGACCCTTGGCCACTCAACAGAAGGCTGAAGGTCAGGGCACAAGCCCAGGTTGTGGCCCCAGTCCCCGGTAGGGAGTGCTCAGGAGGCAGCCTGCTTTGCTCACATTGATGTTTCTCTCTCTCCCTCTCCCTTCCTCTCACTCTAAAATTAAATTAAAAATCTTTAAATTTTTTCAAAAATAAAAATAAATAAATGTTTTTTAAAAAGTGATTGCCTTTGAATGGAGGCATGCCTGCAATATTTTTCACAAACTTTGTAGAACTCTAACTCTGTGCATGAATATTAAAAATATTAAAACAGACTTAAAATAGACCAAAAAAGTCATTTGTATGTAATGCCAGAAAGAAAGCAATTTACAAAGCAGCACATTTCTGAGTCCTTGCTGTCTCTAGAGACTAACACATATTGAACAACCATATACTTCCAGGAGTAGCAATTAAGCTCTCAATGGATGTTCCTTGTGGGTGTCATTTTGGAAAACATTTGACCCTGTCAGCCTTCTTCTGCATTTGGCAGGATGTCCCCCGGCTCTCTGTGTCACTGTAACAGGTGAATAACTAAGGAAAAAAGCATTCCTTCTGTCTGTGGACACTTGTTTATAATGGCATTTGGGGTCCTGGGGCTAAGCAGACAGATGCTCTTCCAGAAGGTTAATGAGATAAAGGTTCCTCCAGGTGGCCCTTAAGCAGAGATTACACCTGAGGGGAGATAAGCAGATTATTCCAGAAACAGACACTGTTTCACATTCTTCATAAATTAGCTACCTCATAAAGGTAAACCAAGGAGGTTATCCTCCCTCTGCTTGCATCAATATTTAATTATTTTCCATATTTCTCTGTCATTTTTTTAAAATGAGATTTGGGGCTGCTCCATGATTGTTACTAGATTTACCAATGCGCAAAAGTCAGGATGTATTTGGAAACCAGAAGAGCTATTTTTGTTATTTGGATTTTTCTTCAAGTTCAAGGAACCAAAGGTGAGTTGTTTACATTTGTTTATTTTTAAATTGCTATCTGTAAAATCTATTTACAGAAGTGAACATTCAATATCAACAAGGTTACCACTGTATCTCAGAGGGCTAGTATATGATAGGCCCTACATAAATACTGATTGATTGATTGTCCAAAATTATTTTTACTCTATTAAATATTTGCTACATAATCCTAAGTGCAATTTATATTAACGAAGTAGGAGAGATGAATGCATACAATTCCTTAACATTGACAAATAAAATCTAAAAAATAAAGTCAATATTTTCTCATTTATGATCAGACAAAAAGTGTATTTCTTACCTTCTCATGGTTAAATCAGGAGTTGCTTTCCCTTAGAAAATAGAAAGTATGCTTTATCTTCAGAGTTAATGATTATAATCAACTCAGAAACTTGGTTGTTTTGAAGTTTTATGCATATAAAACTTAGGCATTAGATGTTCTTATGGCAAATCTTCCAGTGAATCTAAAATTAAAGCAAGCCACAAAACAGGCATATTTAAAAAAACAAAAACACAATGTATTTTTAAAAACTGTTGAAGAAAGCTTCACTTTAAAAAAAAAATCAGCCTAATTTTTAAAACATGATCATTTAAAGACATTTGAAATCAATAATTTTCAATTCTTCTTTAAGGAGGACATGGCTTTGGACAATTAACATGTTAATTGAAGCATTGGTTTGAAAATGTCCATAGAAAAGTACAATAACTAGTTGGTTGCATTTATAAGTCACAAAAATAACTGATTATGTCGGTTATTTTACATGTAATTTTTAGTGGTTGCATTTGGAGGAAGAAAAATATTTCTGGAAAATATTACATAATAATTCCCTTTATATTTTGCTTCATATATGATAGTGGAAGAAGCGAAAGTTTACTTACCTTCCCTTTCAATTGTCAATTACATATAAATGTTTAATTTATTAAAAACATTTTAATTAAAAACAAATGGTGGTATTTCAGTGTATTCTGAACTTAATATACTATGCAAACCAATGTCTGTTTCACAAACTTGACCAGGCATATCAGGTTTGGGTTTTCCCTTGTTATTTTTGTTTGTTTAACTAATTATGTTGACTAATTTAACTATTTTTTTCTATTTTCATATATTGCATATCAGCCCTTACAATCAATTTCAAATTGCATAATTATATAATAGAAAGTTAAATAAAATAAGCACACCCAAAAGACACAATTTGTTATACACCTATTTCTACGAAACAAAGAATGATAACTGCGAAATAAAAAATCCTAACATGTTACTTGTTTGAGGCTTTTTATGCTGTAAGAATCTCAAATCTGTGAATTTCTGTTAATCTTCAATTAGTGAGGTCTACATTAATTAGAGTTTATTTACTTCAGCCAAATTGGTTTCCCATTTGTGACTAATAAGCCATCATGAGTGTATTTACATAGAAAATAGCTTTAGAAGAAAGAAGAGTTCAACTTAATACAGCTAGCCATTAAGCATTAACAATTGGGTGTTTAAATTCAAGAATTTGTTTTTTAAAAATTATACATTATTGCCCGGCCAGCACGGCTCAGCTGTTGAGTGTTGACCTAGGATCCAGGAGATTGAGGTTCGATTCCTGGTCAGGGCACATGCCCAGGTGCAGGCTTGATCTCCATTCGGGGGTGTGCAGGAGGCAGCCAATCAATGACTTATCATTGATGTTTCTCCCTCTCTCTCCCTCTCCCTTCCTCTCGCTGAGATCAATAAAGACATATTTTTTTTACAAAATACAGATTATTTGAAAAATCAAAAAGATGTGAAAAATTACCCATCGTATTTCCATCCAAACACAGCGTATGCTAGCACCTTCAAATGATGCCCCAGTCTTTTTTCTATGTATGCTTACATTCTACATTGATATCTAGTTTTGATATCTACATTGATATCTACATTGAGAATCATCTTATAGGTCATATAATCTTCCTTTCAGTTAACACTCAACAAAAAAGAAATAGTTGTTTCTAATTATTTTGTTATTATGAATAATATTGTAATGTACATCTGGGTGCATAAGCCTCTCTCACTATTTAAGATTCTTAACATAAGTTCACTAAGGTAAAATTACTGGGTCTGAGCAATATAAACAGTTTTATGGTACTTGATTCATATTGCCAAATTACTTCTCAAAAGGTTTCCTATGCCCTTAAGTGATCTTACCCCCGCCCCCCGGTTTGATTCCCAGAGTGTTTACCATGTACCCAATACAGAATACTAAGGTATTCAAAGACATGCCTTTATTTCAAAAGGTTTCCTTTAAGTTTTCCAGATTCTGAATGTAATTTTTTCCACTGATACAAAAAAGTGAAATGGTTTTTATTTTAAAACATTTATTAAATAAAACTGTTTAGTGCAACAAAATATAGTTCAATTGTTTCAAAGAACAATTCCTTCATGGAGATACCAAGGCTCCTCTCTTCGGTATCCACAGTGGAGATACCAGTTGCACTGGGTGTACACAGCACTGCTTTATGCTCTTGCCTTTCCATTTCACATAAATAATTTCATCTAATGGCTTGTCACGTGTTGATGTGTGGGATAAAGAGAAGAGAGAAAACCCACCCTTAGCAAACCCTAAAATGGAAATGGTGTTTATTGCAGTATGTGCCTTTTGCATTGCATTTGGTTATACTAAATGAAACCTTTAACTAAGTTATTATTAGTTCACCAAGGTAGGGTAATTATTTTAGTAGCTGTGAAATGTCAGGAAATTTGCATTTGAAGACACTCCATTTCTTGCTAATCCTTTACCACTGGGATATGTTCTCATTTCATAAAATTTCCCAGGAAGTTATTTTCCCTCATTGTGGCTCCATTAGCAGAGAACAGGGCTTCATTTGTATACCTGAGATAGCTGCCCAGTGACAGTCACATTGACTTTACAGCTCCTGTAAATATATATATATATTTTTTTTTAATTTCTGCTACAGCCTCAGGACAGTGTAATTCAAAAGGTTCAAGGCAGGTTATTTTTGTTCAATTATAGCTGAGAAGGTGTCCTTAAAATCAAAGCTGTGTAAATTAAAAACACTTTGCATTGGATTGAACAAACTGGTGGCACGCTTCAAACCATTTATTAGATTATATACTTACTTTAAAAATAAAGAAGCAGTTGCTGCCTTGTGGCCCCTCTATGCTTGCTTCACTGATCACACTAGACTGTTATATATGTGAGCTAATTAGGAAGCAATGACACGATCTACTGCTTTCTTCGCCATTTCTGTCAATCATGAGCATGCAGCCACCTCAAACATCAACTATATTTGCACACTAATCCTCTCTGGTAACTCAGATTTTGTATACCTTTAGGGCCTCAATCATTTTCACAGATTTTATGTTGTTTTAAAATAATCCATCTGGCCTGGCCTGGCATGACTCAGTGGTTGAGCATCGACCTAGGATCCAGGCGATCAGGGTTCGATTCCCGTCAGGGCACATGCCCAGGTTGCGGGCTCGATCTCCAGTCGGGTGCGTGCAGGAGGCAGCCGATCAATGGCTCTCTCATCATTGATGTTTCTATCTCTCTCCCTCTTCTTTCCTCTCTCTAAAATCAATAAAGATATATATTTTTAAAATAATAAAATAAAATAACCCGCCCAGCCAGGCGTGGCTCAACGGTTGAGCGTCAACCTAGGATCCAGGTGATCCGGGTTCGATTCCCGGTCAGGGCACATGCCCGGGTTGCGGGCTCAATCAATGACTTTCTCATCATTGATGTTTCTGTCTGTCTCTCTCTCTCCTCTTTCCTCTCTCTGAAATCAATAAAGATATATTTAAAAATGAAATAAAATAACCCATCTGAGGCAACAAAGTTTGTTTTCCACAGTCATCTCTAGGTTTATATTATAATTCAGTATATATGTGGTAATGACCATATAAAAGTCCTGAGCTCATCCCTATTTTGTGAAGTACCAAACTCCAGGGTGTCTGAGGTCTCAATCCATATCACTCTTCTTGCTTCAGGGTAGGAAAGACACTTCTGCAGTTGTGGGTAGGGAACTGGTTATACCAACCCTTGGGATTGCTGAAAGGAAGGAGAAAGCCTCTGACCACAATGTGAGTTTTAACCTTCCAAAGCAGACAGTCTTCAGCAATCGCTGGGTCTGAGCCCACTGAGAGGGACAGTGTCACTGGGATTTGAGCCTCCCAAATCAAGAGCACCAAGTCGGGTGGAACCATTTCAGTAACAGATGGTGGTGCACTTTTTGTTCTGGGTCCAAGGCAACCCACATGGCAAAATTTATCCCTCAATGAGTTGACGTGGTTGACTCGAATAGCCATGGTAATGAGAATTTGTATATGGAAATGGCACTGTCAAGTGTGAACTACACATGCATTGCTATATTTATTTATTGAAAATGTACTGCCATGGATGCACCTCTCTTCTTGCCGCAGGAAATGTGGGAAAGAATATGAAAGAGCTACAGAACAGTGGCAAATGCTTCTAAGCATACGGTTGTATTCAGTGGATAAATATTATCCCATGTACAGTCAGCCATTCTTGGGAAAGCACTGTCTTTCTGAGTGCCCTTGTAAAGTCACCTTAATTCCTTCCAACTTGGTTTTCTTCATTCAGCCATCTTTAGTCCCCTCCCCCACCTCAGACAACATCTATTTTCACAATTGCTTCCCTAGGAGAAGAAGGGTTCAAGGAAACTAAACCAAAGGGAATTTTGTGGAGAAAAGTCAAGACCTCAAAATTAATGAAAATTTCCACTTCAGAAATACTTTAACTTCATACAGAAAATAACATGTGTAGGGCTAATTTGTCTGTCTTAAAGTTCCTGCTGCATTTACAAATAAACAAAAGTTACACTTAATTAAGCCCAACTGTGAAACCCAAGGGCGCTATTATGAACCAACTGTAGTTAGTTCAGAACTGATAAAAATACTTTGCAGATAGAAATCATATTGATACTTTTCTTGTAAAAGCTCAAGCAAATCTTAATTAATCTTACCTCCTAAGATTTTACAGATT